GAGTAACACACTACACAACCCTCACTGAGATAACACACACTGACACTCAGAACACACTGAGAGTAACACACTACACAACCCTCACTGAGATAACACACACTGACACTCAGAACACACTGAGAGTAACACACTACACAACCCTCACTGAGATAACACACACTGACACTCAGAACACACTGAGAGTAACACACTACACAACCCTCACTGAGATAACACACACTGACACTCAGAACACACTGAGAGTAACACACTACACAACCCTCACTGAGATAACACACACTGACACTCAGAACACACTGAGAGTAACAACACTACACAACCCTCACTGAGATAACACACACTGACACTCAGAACACACTGAGAGTAACACACTACACAACCCTCACTGAGATAACACACACTGACACTCAGAACACACTGAGAGTAACACACTACACAACCCTCACTGAGATAACACACACTGACACTCAGAACACACTGAGAGTAACACACTACACAACCCTCACTGAGATAACACACACTGACACTCAGAACACACTGAGAGTAACACACTACACAACCCTCACTGAGATAACACACACTGACACTCAGAACACACTGAGAGTAACACACTACACAACCCTCACTGAGATAACACACACTGACACTCAGAACACACTGAGAGTAACACACTACACAACCCTCACTGAGATAACACACACTGACACTCAGAACACACTGAGAGTAACACACTACACAACCCTCACTGAGATAACACACACTGACACTCAGAACACACTGAGAGTAACACACTACACAACCCTCACTGAGATAACACACACTGACACTCAGAACACACTGAGAGTAACACACTACACAACCCTCACTGAGATAACACACACTGACACTCAGAACACACTGAGAGTAACACACTACACAACCCTCACTGAGATAACACACACTGACACTCAGAACACACTGAGAGTAACACACTACACAACCCTCACTGAGATAACACACACTGACACTCAGAACACACTGAGAGTAACACACTACACAACCCTCACTGAGATAACACACACTGACACTCAGAACACACTGAGAGTAACACACTACACAACCCTCACTGAGATAACACACACTGACACTCAGAACACACTGAGAGTAACACACTACACAACCCTCACTGAGATAACACACACTGACACTCAGAACACACTGAGAGTAACACACTACACAACCCTCACTGAGATAACACACACTGACACTCAGAACACACTGAGAGTAACACACTACACAACCCTCACTGAGATAACACACACTGACACTCAGAACACACTGAGAGTAACACACTACACAACCCTCACTGAGATAACACACACTGACACTCAGAACACACTGAGAGTAACACACTACACAACCCTCACTGAGATAACACACACTGACACTCAGAACACACTGAGAGTAACACACTACACAACCCTCACTGAGATAACACACACTGACACTCAGAACACACTGAGAGTAACACACTACACAACCCTCACTGAGATAACACACACTGACACTCAGAACACACTGAGAGTAACACACTACACAACCCTCACTGAGATAACACACACTGACACTCAGAACACACTGAGAGTAACACACTACACAACCCTCACTGAGATAACACACACTGACACTCAGAACACACTGAGAGTAACACACTACACAACCCTCACTGAGATAACACACACTGACACTCAGAACACACTGAGAGTAACACACTACACAACCCTCACTGAGATAACACACACTGACACTCAGAACACACTGAGAGTAACACACTACACAACCCTCACTGAGATAACACACACTGACACTCAGAACACACTGAGAGTAACACACTACACAACCCTCACTGAGATAACACACACTGACACTCAGAACACACTGAGAGTAAAACACTACACAACCCTCACTGAGATAACACACACTGACACTCAGAACACACTGAGAGTAACACACTACACAACCCTCACTGAGATAACACACACTGACACTCAGAACACACTGAGAGTAACACACTACACAACCCTCACTGAGATAACACACACTGACACTCAGAACACACTGAGAGTAACACACTACACAACCCTCACTGAGATAACACACACTGACACTCAGAACACACTGAGAGTAACACACTACACAACCCTCACTGAGATAACACACACTGACACTCAGAACACACTGAGAGTAACACACTACACAACCCTCACTGAGATAACACACACTGACACTCAGAACACACTGAGAGTAACACACTACACAACCCTCACTGAGATAACACACACTGACACTCAGAACACACTGAGAGTAACACACTACACAACCCTCACTGAGATAACACACACTGACACTCAGAACACACTGAGAGGAACACACTACACAACCCTCACTGAGATAACACACACTGACACTCAGAACACACTGAGAGTAACACACTACACAACCCTCACTGAGATAACACACACTGACACTCAGAACACACTGAGAGGAACACACTACACAACCCTCACTGAGATAACACACACTGACACTCAGAACACACTGAGAGTAACACACTACACAACCCTCACTGAGATAACACACACTGACACTCAGAACACACTGAGAGTAACACACTACACAACCCTCACTGAGATAACACACACTGACACTCAGAACACACTGAGAGTAACACACTACACAACCCTCACTGAGATAACACACACTGACACTCAGAACACACTGAGAGTAACACACTACACAACCCTCACTGAGATAACACACACACTGACACTCAGAACACACTGAGAGTAACACACTACACAACCCTCACTGAGATAACACACACTGACACTCAGAACACACTGAGAGTAACAACACTACACAACCCTCACTGAGATAACACACACTGACACTCAGAACACACTGAGAGTAACACACTACACAACCCTCACTGAGATAACACACACTGACACTCAGAACACACTGAGAGTAACACACTACACAACCCTCACTGAGATAACACACACTGACACTCAGAACACACTGAGAGTAACACACTACACAACCCTCACTGAGATAACACACACTGACACTCAGAACACACTGAGAGTAACACACTACACAACCCTCACTGAGATAACACACACTGACACTCAGAACACACTGAGAGTAACACACTACACAACCCTCACTGAGATAACACACACTGACACTCAGAACACACTGAGAGTAACACACTACACAACCCTCACTGAG